CACCACAAACACAAAGCACAATAATTAACACAAACTTACAGAACACTGAAACAACACTTACTTAAACCTAACTTAAAGAACACTTACTTAACTCTAACTTAACTAGTGAATAATACTCCCCTCTTTAACACCACCTCTTAATACTGGACATCTGTCCAAATATTATAATTTATCTAGCACTCCCTTGCACTTATATAATATATTTCTTTCTTCTCTTAAGACTCTTACGGCCTGATGGTTCCATATCAGTGGTGGAACTTTAATAGCTTCCACTGCGAAACAATAGCAGACAAAGTTTTTTTTCTTTTCTTTGTTACCTTTATGAAAAACGTTGTGCTTTAAGTATAAGCTTAAATTTTCTGACGCACCACCAGGTGGTCTATAACAACAACTTAGTAGAATGCTTTTGCTTTTTAACTTTTCGCTTTTATTGTTTAAAATTTCAATTGTAACGATTTCTTTATCCCCATCAGAAACGCACAGATCATTCCTAACGTTATGCGCAATGTTTTGTTTTATGTAAATCAGAATTCCTCCACCGCGTTTATTTAATTGTCTTTCTAATAAAATTGTTTCAAAATTAGGAAAATGGAAATTAGAGTTATTTTTAGGCTCATTTTGTGAACACCAAGTTTCCGTTAAGCAAATAATATCAAAATAGTTTTTAGTTTCTTCTATAAAATGTCGAAGATTTTCAAAATTTTTGTTCATACTGCTTATATTTATGTGGACAATTCTAATTTTTTTGTTTTCATCGCCATTTTTAGAAAGAAATTCTTTTAACTCACTAGCATAATGATAAAAACAATCTACTTTTAATTCATTAAAATAATTAATATCTGGATCTGTGTTTTCATCAGATCCAATGTATTTGTTTCTAAAGTTGAAAATAAGTGATTCATAGTCATCCATTTTATATTTTTTGTTGTTATAATTTTTTGTGTGCTGAATAAGATTTAAAAGAATTTCTTATACTTCTGAGGCGCGCGTTACAAGCTTGGTATATATAACTTTAGCAAACTTACCCTCAGCTCGAAGTTCTTTTGCTTTTGTAAATAGAAATCGTCTTTTTTCGATTGTGCGATTGCTATAGTCTTCGTTGAGATATATTTTTTCGTTCCATAGCTTTCTTTTTTTATACTCATTTAATACGATTTCTCTGTCTTTATAGTTAAGAAACTTTGCCTCGATAGTTCTTCTTCTTTTTCCAGATACGTGCTTCTTCCCAGTCCTGTGTGCTCTTTCGATTGCAATGTTGTTTTTAATTCCGAGTTTCTCCTTTAAGAACTCTTTAACCTTCGATTCGCTATCTTCCCAAGTTTCTTCTTCTCTTTCGTCAAAGCCATCAAAACGAAGATTGTTTCGTCTACTTCTATCTTCTAATTCGGCTAATTTATCTTGAATAATTTCGGTGCATTTAAGATTCTCGTTGACTTTGTTGTAATTATTGAGTTTACCTTTTAGGTCATTTGATTCCTCAACAATTTGTTCATAATATTTATTCTGGAAATTCATTGCTCTAGTAACTTCAGCTACTTCTCTCTTCAGTAAAGCATTTTCGTTTTTTAATTTTTCAATTTCGTTGTAAAATTTTTCTTCTAATTTATCAAATCTCTCTCCAAAGGTTTTTAGTAGAGTGCTTTCATGACATTCCAAAAATTCTTTTACAAATGTTAAAGATTTTGCCATTTTCGAATTATTTTAAAATATAAAAACTTATTATACTAAAAAGAAAAATAGTTTTTCCATTATTTTTTTTTTACGCTGCAGAAAACACGTCTGTTCATGAAGAGAACCTTGCATTGAACATTTAGTTCTAGCATTTCTTTAATTTTTCTAGAAGTAGTAAATGGTAGGGATGTACCGAAGCTGAAATTTTGCCGAAGCCGAAGCTTCGGCCGAAGCCACTTTGCCGAAGCCGAAGCTTCGGCCGAAGCCACTTTGCCGAAGCCGAAGCTTCGGCCGAAGCCGAAGCTTCGGCACTATATATGCTTAAAATTTAATCAGCATTCAGATCAGCAGGGGTGTAAAACAAAAAAGGTACCAAAACTAAGGTCCTTGACTAATAATATAGAAAAATTGTATAAAAATGAGGACGCCAGTCAGGGTTGCTGTTCCAGGTAGGGCAAAAGCTCTCAGCGCCCTTGTTTAAAAGTTTCTCATTATGTCGTTTCTGATACTTGACCGCATCGAGCGTTTTTTTTTTTAAACTTAAGCTTTATTGAAACATTCTCCCCAAATTTTCCTACTTCTAGTTCTACTTTTTCTGTGTTCAAACCATATTAATGTTATATAGCATTTTTTCATGTGCTGTATATTTTATTTTTATTTTTAATGCACCTTTTGTTAAATAGAAGTGGATAAAAATCTCTGAACATTACTAGAGTAAAATTATCTTTTGCACTTGATCACTCTTTCTTTAACTAAACACTCTTTGCTGATCTAGTTGTATCTAAAACATAAAAAATCTTAGAAACACACTTTATCTTTTTATTGCTATTTATTTCAATATCTTTTTTTTACTTCTCTGTATTCTTTAAACGAACAATTTCTAAACTAAAAAAAACCCAAGTTAAGACCATTTTGGATTCCACTACAACTGTTGTGCTCCTGCTGTTAAAAAAAAGTACAAATGATAGATTTCTCTCTAACTTCTTTTTTACACACTTTTAAGTATTTTTTTTTTTGATTATTTTCAACTTAACACTACATAACATTTTCTATAGCTTTTTTTAATCTTTTATACTTTGAAATCTTAGTATTCATTCTTCTTCTGTCTCTATAATGGATAAATCTGCATCAGTATCTGAAATCAAATATTAACTATCTGTGATAAAAACTTCCAAAGTAATCTAACAACTCTGTAGAGTGAGCTTTAAATAAAATAATAAATAGAATACTTTATAAATTTTATTAATAATTATATTATTATTTACTTTGTATTTATAAATAAACAGGGACTGAGCAGGCTGATATTTATTTGATTTAAATTGTTTATTTAATTTAAATAAATTTTGATGATAAATATAAGAGTTCAAAGTAATCAAAGCTTCAACCTTTAATTTATTTTAAATAAAATTTAAAAGTCTTCATAATATCATAAGAGGAAACCAAAATATTGGTTTATATGTTTAATATATAAATTCAATTTAGAAGTATTCATAATATTAATAAAAGAGCAAGGATAGTTATTATCATTGTTTTTCTTTTTCTTTTTATTTATCTAGTTTTTGTTGGCTTTTTTTTTTCTTTTTTTATTCTCCCCGTTTATATTTCATTTGCTTATCTTCCTTTTTTGTTGTTGAGAACTTTTTGTTTTTTATGTGTCACTCCATTGACTATTTTGTATCTATATAAGTGACACCTAACCAATTTCTGTAAATTTACGATGAAAATTTGTAAATTTTTATTAATATGGCTAAATAAAATTTTAAAAAATTAAACATACACACAATTTAAAATAGTAGCAACGTATCTTTAATCTTCTTTAAAGAGAGATTACTAAGGTTTATCGGTCAAATGTTGAAACTAAATTTTGTTCTATTTGCGGTAATCCCACACAATAATTAATATGAATTCGTTATTAAGGTTTTAAAAACTTTTAATTTGTTTTAAATTATAAGGTTTTTATTCTGCATAGAAATGCTGCTTCAGTTCATCTGAAGTCACACTTGGAAGCTTTCAAAGTGTTTGAGGACCTTCCTTAATTTTATTATTTTTTTCAAAATATTTTTACTTATTTATTATTATCCCCTCCATAACAAGACACTTGGGAGTAAATAATACTAAGTATATGGTATAGACTCCAACTTTAACTCTGTAGTCCTAAATTTATAACTTTATTAGACACTGGCAATTAGCTTATTTTTATAACTTGTCCCACAGTACCTTATAAATTTAATTAATTAAAATTTTTTGCCGAAGCCAAAGATTCGGCAAAAAATTGACCTGGCTTCGGCCGAACCGAAGCTTCGGCAAAGTTGCCGAAGCTTCGGCACGCCGAAGCCGAAGCCGAAGCTTCGGTACATCCCTAGTAAATGGGTTCTTTTTCGCTAACGATACAGTTCGACAATTTTCTATAGCGAAAGTTGATCTTTTATTTCCACGTTTTTCGGGTTTGGGTTTCCATTTTAACGCATTACATATCATTGTTGGTAAGCATCCAACCAGTTCGTGTATTTGTATGTAGGTTTTACAATGATTTTTAAGATTTATAATTAAATGCGGTAGTGGTGTAGTGGTAAAGCGCTCGTTTCATAAACGAGTAGTTCCGAGTTCGATCCCCATCACGTCCCTGGTAGTACCGCGCTCAACTCGTTTCTCCGCGCAGCGGCCTTGCTCGTCAAGGTTCGTGTTTCGGAGGTATAGAGTTGAGAGAGGGTTATGACCACAAATAAGTAGCCTCCTCGTCTGTAGTGGCATTCTCGGCCTTAAGGAGGTGAATTAAAAAAAAAAAAAAAAAAAAAAAAAAAAAAAAAAAAATTACGAGCTTCTTAAGTTCAATGCTAAGAGCCCCTCCATGTTTCTCTAAAATTTCAAAATTTTAGCAAGTGTATAAATTTATCTAATATAAAAAATAATTACTTCCTTAATGGTTATTATTAAGAACTAATTAAGATAATAAAAAAATAATAATTAGAATTTAATAAGTGCAGCAACTATTACACAAAAATTAATTTTTCACTAGTATTATATTGCACAGTCTAAAAAACAAAAAAAGAATGACCTTAATTCGATAATATTGAAATTTAAAACCATACAGTGCTGCAATTATCTTTCTTAAATTTCTTTTTATACTATTACACAACATGGGGTGGGGTTGTGTCGAGGGTTGGTCGGGATGGTAGGTTGGAGAGGAATTTATAAATGTTTCGTATTACTGTCAATATTAACAATAGCCTTAATCTCCTATTGTAAAAGGATAATCTTTTTGTTTTTTTCTCTATTATTTACCATAGAAACGTCAATCATTTTTTATAATAAAAACCAAACTTAATTTTAATAAAGCAGTTATGAGTTTAGAAGGCGAAGAGTGCAGCGCTTTTAATTTACATCAAGACAACAATTATTCAAACGAAGTTTATTGGGATTTACAATGCCAAATATCAAAAAAATTACAAGAGGAAAAGAACGAGCAACAAAAAGACGTATTAACGTTGAATCACCAACAATCAAACGAAAAGTTGAATACATCGAGCACCAGTTGCAACGAGGGCATAACGAATTTAAATATCGAGAGCTCCTCAACGAGTACTATACCATTACAGGGAAAGAATACCCAATACGAAAAGGCGATACAGTTACTGAAGTCCCGCTATTACACGAACAGGACGAAACAGATCTCAACGGAGCATGCTCTAGCAAAATGTTTCGAGGAGACAGTGATGCTTGTGATGCCGGAACAATCATTAGACAACCTAGCAGTGAGGGACCTATCGTGGATTGTCAGGAAGGACCATCAGATGTTCATTCAGGGTGTGAAAACGATATTGAAATCAAAAAGGACACAAATGAGAAAGGGAGGCAGGATATTGTCGAAATATCTTCAGACGAAGAATGGGTCGAGGAAGTTAACGAAAATGAAGGCTGTTGCGACAACGTAACAAGAACTGACAGATGTGCTGAATTACGACTAGATAACTCGGTACGAAAATATATAAATATATGGGATATATTTTAATATTATTATTTAACGCTTTAATTGATAAAATAATAAATAAATAATTTTAGGAACTGTAATGTTTTAATAAAGACTTACGCCGCGGATTTTATATATTTCATGTCATACACACAGGCAAACCAACGCATACCATCTGGTACAACGGAAAAGAGGCGAAATGTGACGCACTTGACATATGTTCCAAGACTCACACCATTTGCAAATTTTTCGATGGAAAAGAATCCGAATATAGTGGTCAACTCCACACACACGTTATCCTCGCCAGCTACGTTTTGGAAAGGGCAAAAAGAAGTCCAGAAGGCGAACAACTTCGCATCAGAAGAGCTTTTTTCAGAGCGAGACAGTATCTCTGTCGTGGATGTGCAGACATCACACGTAAGCGATACGGACACTACTGCAACACGTGCAACAACAGAATTTCGGTTAAGCACGTTAATTCCAATGCTTACTACAAGAATAGCATTGTCTACGTGCTTAACCGTGATTAGTTATATAAAATCACACTTAACATTTGACTTGGACAACATACAAGACGAAACAATACTAACACAACGACAACCCCTAAAACAACAACAAAAACAGAACTTTGCTAACTACCTATTTAATAACAACATAATGAATTCAAGACATTACGATGACGAACTTGCTAAAAGTGACGAATTACGAAGACTAGAATTCACGATACAATTAAAGGACCTCGAAGTGATAAAAAAGACTATATTCAGACAAATATACTTAAAACAACGAAACACTGACGTTTTAACACCACGAATAGTTGTATCTAATAACAAATCTCGTTTAGGTGCTCTGATGTTTTTCCTCTCCAACATCGCACTACAAAATCAAATCTCCGTCAATAGGCTAAAACAATTATTGTGCAACTTCATTTTCAATCTTAATCACAAAAAAAGGGGACTCATTCTCTGTGGACCGTCTGATTCTGGAAAAACTTTCCTAGCAAACCTATTATATTCTTCTTTCAAACGACATGAAATTGGCTACTTCAACTGTCCTACTGGTCCTAATCCATCTGCTTTCCTACTACAAGCATTGAGTAATTGCTTAGCCTATCGATGTGATGAAATGGTTTTCGAGCACCTAGGCGTTATTCAGTTAATGAAGCAACTATTGGAAGGGTCAAGTACACTAACAACAGATGTCAAATACAAAGATGCAATGCCAATAGATCCTCATCCAACTCTTATAACTATGAATTCTTCTTCTAAATTCGACATACTAAAATGGCATCCATCTGAGTATCAGGCATTTGAAAACAGGTGTACAAAACTCTTCCTAGGAACACCACTACTTAATATATTCAATGATAAAGAGCTAAGGGAAATAAACGCCTGCGGCCCTGAGTTATTGTATATGTTAAGTATGCACAAACAGGACAAAGACACAGATACAACAGGGGTACTGGACAAGTTCCAAGACTACATTTTTTTGTAATTTTTTATAAATAACAACGTATTTTGTAAATAATTTAATTAACATATATAATTTACAATAATTTTTGCTTTTTCTCTGCGGGTTCTTCGTTGTTTAATATTTCAACTTTACCAACAAACATAGCACTAAAAGCAGGATAAAATATCTTCTGATAAGAATTAAGAAATGTTATTTTTGCATTATTTTTTATACAAGGATTAGCCATAGTAACAGTAGTATGCGTAGCATCTTTACCAAATCGAGATTGCTTAATAGTAGGACGCTTATAAAGTTCGTTGACAGGATCAACACGTGTGCGATCATAAGTCCAGTCTTTATCAAACACTAGAATCCTATATCTAATACGCAGCCGTCCTCTAACAGTTGTTGGCATAACATCTTTGCCACTATAAGCAGGGTCAATCCAAAAATATAAACGCTTGCAGTTTTTATTTGCACTAAAAGGCATAACAGTAGGTAAATTATTCCAAAACGTATTATTAATATTTTCAGTGTTTTTATCTCCAGCACTTATATCATAATTAGAACGATTCTTAAATAAAACTGACGAATGATCAAACTCATCATACGGTTGTAGAAATACATCAAAACATTGTTCAATATTATATGGATCTCGTGAATCCGCACAATAAGGCGTAATAACATTAAATATACACCCAATATTACCGGTGTTATATTGTTCATAAGGAGAAACTCCCTGTCTCTGCAAATACCATCTGTCTAACTGAACAGGATAACGTATATTTTTACGCTTATCGTCACCTTCTGAAACAATAGAACGAGCAATAAGATTTTTTATTCCATAATTAGGCATATGAATATGACCAAAACGATAATCACAGGGATAAGTATTAATAATAGACCAATGCTCATCAAAAAATCCCTGAGCTTTCTGTTTATCAAGAGACGCAGTAGAATCAATAAATTGACCACCGGGATCAAGTGAAGTATCAGTAAACTTAAACGATCGAGAGGTGTACGGGTCATTAACCAATAACTTTATAGGTTTTCGTAAACCAATATCATTTTTCCGAACAATACTATGTATAACTTTTTCAGCTACATTGTTCTTCTCGAAAAATCTAGGATCCTTGGTACTCACAACATTAGAAAAACGAGTAGCGACAGGTTTACCAGCTTTGTCATTAAAAAACAAAGAATTCTCCAATAACTTAACTGTAGGTAGAGGACCAGGTTTCTTATCAGCAGAACTTAGTTTCAATTCAACAATTTTAGCCCAATCATCAGAATCCACCAAAGGATAACAAACATCTGAAATCAATTGATCACCTTCAACATCAAAAAACCTCAATCCAATATTTGACATTTCCAATGGTACAGACGAATTTTGAGTAGTTTTAAGTTGATTTTCAACGCGTACATCCATTACATCGCATTCCACAGACTTATCAACATAATAAATACCTCCGGTAGCCATATAATACTGATCTGTATTAGTCCACAAATTAGGATAATCAACAGGAAAATAATATATATTTTGCACGGTATCATTAGTACATTCAACATACCAGTAAATAGATTGTTCAACACAAAACTCATCATAAAAACTTTTACTACAATCAAACCCTCTTTCGATAATGAAATCGGGTGATGCGCTGACTTCGTGATTCGGGGATTGCTCTGCCATTAGTTACGTGATAACCTCTTTCCGACCAATCTTTTCTTCCTTTTGGATGAACGAATATTCTTCTGTGTGTCCGCACCATAAGCAGCTGCTACATCAAATGAGTAATTGCCAAATAACTTCTCTAATATAGCAGGACTCTCCTTCATAACACTCCATGGAATTGCATATTTAGGTAATTCATCATAAAACTTAGGAAACTGATAAAACAATTATTGTGCGACTTCATTTTCAATCTTAATCACAAAAAGTGGGGACTCATTCTCTGTGGACCGTCTGATTCTGGAAAAACTTTCCTAGCAAACCTATTATATTCTTCTTTCAAACCACATGAAATTGGCTACTTCAACTGTCCTACTGGTCCTAATCCATCTGCTTTCCTACTAAAAGCATTGAGTAATTGCTTAGCCTATCAATGTGATGAAATGGTTTTCGAGCACCTAGGCGTTATTCAGTTAATGAAGCAACTATTGGAAGGATCAAGTACACTAACAACAGATGTCAAATACAAAGATGCAATGCCAATAGATCCTCATCCAACTCTTATAACTATAAATTCTTCTTCTAAATTCGACATACTAAAATGGCATCCATTTGAGTATCAGGCATTTGAAAACAGGTGTACAATACTCTTCCTAGGAACACCACTACTTAATATATTCAATGATAAAGAGCTAAGGGAAATAAACACCTGCAGCCCTGAGTTAGTGTATATGTTAAGTATGCACAAACAGGACAAAGACACAGATACAACAGGGGTACTGGACAAGTTCCAAGACTACAATCCTTGGAAAGGATACTGGATATTACGTTATTTCTTTCAGTAAGAAATCTTGCATTCTGTGGTTCAGACACGGCAATTGGTTCAAAGAGCAATGGAAATTTTCTTGGGGTGTTTGAAATACTGGCTAAGTACGATGCCGTCCTCAAGGAGCTTCTGTTAAGAATTCAGGACAAAAAACAAACGCTCACTATTTGAGCAATGACACACAGAACGAGTTGATTAGATGTTTAGCGCAGGAGGTTGAATTAGAAAACCTTTCTATGGTAAAAAAAGCAAAATACTATTCGGTTATTTTAGATTGCACGCCAGACGTTTCGCACAAAGAACAAATGAGCATTATTTTAAGATCAGTGACATGTACTTCTAGAGTAGGTATTAACATTTCCGAAAATTTCTTTGGATATCTCACAGTAAATGATACCACTGGAAAAGGGCTTTTGGATGTCTTTTTAAATCAGGCAAAAAAATGGGATCTAAATATTCTTGATTGTCTTGGTGTTCAAGCCAGGCTTCTAGAAATGAACCCAAAGGCTATATTTGTTCCATGTGCAAATCATTTACTGAATCTTGTTATTGTTGATGGTGCACTGTCATCTATCAGTGCAATATCTTTTTTGGAGTTCTTACAAGATTGTATACCCTCTTTTCATCGTCTTCTCCTCGATGGGAAATTTTAAAATCGTGTGTGGAAATTTCTGTCAAACCACAATTAGATACAAGATGGGAAAGTAAAATAAACTGAGTTAAACCACTTCGCTATTATCTGAAAGAAATTTTAGAGGCACTCGACAGATTGGAAAAACATGCCTTTGAAAAGAAAGATGGGGCAACAGCCACAGAAGTGCGATCTCTGATTGAATATATTAGGACATGGCCTTTCTTATTATCAATCATTATTTGGTATGACGTTTTATTTAAAATCAACAAATCAAGTAAGCTTCTTCAGTCTTCTACAACCTCTCTTGACATATTGGCTAGTGAAATAAAAGCAACAAATACATTTCTTTATGAGTATCGCGAGACTGGATTTACTGACGCACATATTAAAGCACAAGAAATTGCAGAAGAATTGGGCATTGAAAAATTTTTTTTCGTAAGCACACTGTTTTTCCAACAGTGCGCTTACGAAAAAAAAAAATGTATTCATACGAGTGTGGTGATGAAACTCGGCAACCTGAGCATCAGTATAAAGCAGATTTCTTTTTGCCACTCATTGACATGTCAATTGCATTAGTAAAGGAGCGTTTTGAACAGGTCAGTATCTTCACAAATCTTTTTGACTTTCTTTACCGGTCTGAGAGTCTTATCAAATCCTGTAATGAAAATTCTCTTACTGTATTTTGCACAAATTTGCAAACGAAGCTCGGTGATATAGATTCTGAGGATGTGGAAATGGAGTTGAAACGATTTGTCATAGTTGTACAAGAGGACAAAAATACAAACCTGAAATCTGCATATGACTTCCTTAACTACGTCTACAAAGAAGAGCTGCAGGAAACTTATCCTAATCTAGTTATTGCGTTACGCATCATTCTTACTTCTCCAGTAGCTGTTGCAAGTGCAGAACGTAGCTTTAGCAAGTTAAAATTAATTAAAACTTTTCATAGGTCAGTATAAATACTCTTATTTCCTTATACGTAAACACATATAACTATATTTCTTCGTATCTTTATGTAGGTCAACAATGGTCGATGAACGTTTGTCTTCCCTAGCAATGCTGTCAATCGAGAACAAGGTGGCAAGGAAATTAAGTTATGAAGGTTTAATAAATAAGTTTGCAAGTATGAAAACACGACGCAAACCTTTTTTTTGACCTGTGAATGCCTAATACATTCACAGTAGTCAAAGAAACTTTTTGTTTTAAACTCTTAATAAATATAACAATTATAAAATATACTTAATTTAATTAAAGGGTTAATTTTATTGTTTTTTTTCTCGTCAACGACTACTTAAAAATATGTTCGGTGCATTATAAAAGATACGCCTTGCGCTTTTTGAAAAAAAAAGTGTCAATTTAAACGCATTTAAAAAAACTTTAGGGGCCTAATAGAATGTTTGGAGGGGGGGCCCTAAAGCCACTAGCCACGGCACTGAACAGGATATATTAAACGACGCATTAATAAGCCAAAATTTGTGAAATGATCACCTCAGCTTTTAAGGTCTGTCAAAAGAAAAGTCAAGCAAAATCCATAGCGCTTCATCCGCCAGTTGGCAAGGGAAGCCAATGTTGTCAACTCCACAATGCAAAAAGTTATGAAAGATTTGAACCTTAAATCGAGAGCTGTTGTGACTAAGCAAATAAACAGAATGAAAGTAGGAAAGAGCGATGCAAAAAATTGGTAAAATGGCGAAAATCTTACCATGGGCGTGTGACAATCTTCTCTTTTCACTGTGGATAATACTAATCGTCGTAAGACAAGGTACCTTAGTACTGCCAAAACAGTAAAGGAAGTCCCTGAGAATATCAATTATTCATTTTCATCAAAACAACCAGCTTCTGTGATGGTACTTAGCGTGATAGCAAGTGATGGAAAAAAGTGTCTACCAGACACTTGCCAGAGGCTAGCAAGATTCCACATGCAAGTGCTGAGTCACTAAAAAGGTCTATATGCAAAGCATGGGCCAAAGTTCC